GGCCTACTGTGAGCAGGCGGACCCCATTTTTTTGTGTGATATCAGACTGCTATCTGGGACAAGGGTTTGGCATGGATTTTGAAAGGGCCACAACGTGTTTTACATTTGTACACTTTAGACTGGGGTGCCTCGAGGTGTTGCATACTTTTAAAGAGTGCCGCAACTGAAAAAAGGTTGAGAAATGCTGCTCTAAAAAACACAATAGTTGGAATCTTTACTATATTGTAGATCCTATTCATTCAACCAGAAGAGAAATCACCCCAAGAACAATTTCACCCGATTCTCCCAACAGCTGGTTAACTCGCACCAAACAAAAATGTACCTGCAGTTTTGTTGGGTGAATCTTCTTTATAAATAAACCCCAAAGTGTCTCTCAATCCGAATCTATGAAGGGATGGCAGATGGCATTAGAAATTGGTGAATCACCACCGATGGGGTTATCAAAGAGGCACAAGTATACTATTACTTGTATTGCAAGGGATTGGAAATTGATCATATTCATAAATCAAAGACAAGTAGCACCCCTTTGATTTCATTATTCCCCACTGAGATTTTCTATCCTGACCGCAGCTGAAGATTAAAGTGATATTAAAGTCAAATGTATTTTAAGCGATTTCAAATGCTGATGAAAATCACTTACAATGGAAGCTGCTCATTGATGTATAAAAGTTTTAGTTTTCTGCAGAACTAGCTGGGCCCCTGAGCACTGGCCCTGATATCCTGTTTCAGGATGGCTCCTTTCCCTTACAGGGTCCCATGAAGCCATCCTTGGGTGTAATAGTAAGCTGTGTGCGCCCAAAATCAGACAGGCAGAGCAGGTCAAGACGCTCCTCTGCTCCCCACTCTTCCCTTCCTCCCCACTCTTCCAAGCTAGTAGATGGACAGCTACTGGAGACTGCTGTCTCTTGTGATCTTGTACTGGACAGGAAGTTCAGGGAAGCTGAGAGAGTTGGAGCGGTTTGGAAACCTGACTAAGTGTTTGGGAATATAAAGAAATACTTTGTGCAGATGTATATATGTGTGTGATCTGAGTTCATTAGTGAAAGACAAGTTTGAGAGTTTAATACTACTTTAACCATGGCACAGGAGTCATTATCAAAAGGAAACTCTAGACAGTGCAGTTCAAAAAGAAATACGTAAAAATGGCCAAGGTCCGATGTATATTCCTAGACTAAGAATTTTTAAAGAAAATATTTCTAAAAAAGTTTTGGGTCTGTAGCAGATAAATGCCTCTCCACCCATACCACAGGAATTATCAAATTAACCCCTTCGTGACTGACGACGTACAGTGTACGTCGCCAGCATCGGGGCTGTTTAAACAGACTCCCGGTGACTTTTGCCGCCGGGAGTCTGTTTAAACATGTAGAGCCGACTGTCGGCTTTACAACAGAAGCGATCCTGGCGACTTACCTTGTCGGGTGCGCCTACGTATGAAGACGACGAACGCGCTACACATGTTTGGTATCGCCGCTCACGCCGGAGTGAGAGCAATAAATTCTAGGGCCAGTATTTTGGGGTATCTCTAAATTGATGACCTGTGGGGGTTTTTAAAGCGTCTATGGACTTTTTGGGGTACTGGGGTTTTTCACCGTTTTACGGATGCACGCAATTTGTAACCTGGGCATGTTGGGTATCGTTTTACTCGTTGTAACCTCATCTTTTATATTTCATTTTAAAAAAATGGGTATTTTGTTGTGTTTTGGGGCATTTAATTACATTTTTCACTAAATATTGGGGTTTAATAAGGAGTTGCGCTAATATTGCGCAACATAAAAATTTGCAACTACCACCATTTTATTCTATAGGGTCTTGGCATTCAGAAAATATATAATGTTGGGGGGTTTTAAGTAATTTTCAGGCCTAAAATGTGGAATATAACATGGGTACAAAAAATGAAAAAAAGGCCAGTCATGAAGGGGTTAATATGGATTCAGGGCCCAGTCTGTCCAATTCAGGAGACATCAGGAGTTTTCTTAGCAGCCAGCTCCACTGACAACAGCAAGAGAGCTCTTTAAAAGTTACAACCAGCTATAATTTTTAGGGAGCATTGGCTCCCTGGGTCCTGGGATTTGTCCAGCCCTCCGCTACCTAGTACCAACACCATGATACAGTCAACCCCACAACCAGTAATAGTTGCTTGGGAATGGGTAGTCTAGATCTCGCACAGGCAGTATACCTCATATTAGATGTAAACCCTCTAAACAAAATGTTCACGTCTAGTATGCGATCTTAAAATTAAACTAAAATCTGCAGGGCACGGGGTGGGCTGTTGCACATTTGACCATGATTGCACACTTGCCTATGAAAGTGCCTTCCTCCAGCACTGAGAGATGCGGGATCCAAATAGCTAACCCATAGCCCTCTTCTCCAATGCTTCTACCTGATCCCCCTGCTACTCTTCAGCCACTGATATGTAACTGCTGCACCTAGGCACAAGTTTCATAGACCAGGATAGCACTGGCCTCTGACAGATACCAAGAATAAGCAGGAAGCATATACTGCACATGCGCCATACAAGAATAAGCAGGGAGCATATACTGCACATGTGCCATACAAGAATAAGCAGGGAGCATATACTGCACATGTGCCATACAAGAATAAGCAGGGAGCATATACTGCACATGTGCCATACAAGAATAAGCAGGGAGCATATACTGCACATGTGCCATAGAGTCTACGTAGAAGCTTAAAAACAATTGCTTAGGGGGAAGAATTTTTTGTCAGAACTCTGCCAAAATAAAATTAATTTCTACTAGCATTTTTAGCTTTAACTACAAGTACAAATGCCCTGCCTGTGGGATTCAGACTTGGTTTTGAAGGTCAAAGTTTTAGGGTTTGCTTGGATAAAACACTAACCTAGAACAAATATGTGCATACAAAGTTCTGACATTTTACTGGCTGCATGCTTGCCCCTGATCATCGACCAATTAATAAAACAAAGATCATTATTACAGCCCTATAACTTGAACTCTCAAGTTAGTGATGGCACCCCTCCCCCACACACCTTTATTTATATACAGACAGGTTCCCTCAAACCTGTGACAAGACAGGAACACTCAAAATTCCCCAAAAGTATTTTCTCTGACCTTCAGAATTTTTATGGTTGTAATGAATATAGCCCCAGATAAAATTGCCCAGTGTGGTAAATATAACCGCTCTATAATAAAACCCCCGCAGACCGGTAGTAAACATGAGGACATCAATGTTTGGTCCTTGAAGTTGCTTGATTTCTGAAAATTGTTACAATACACAACATGTTACTTGCTTATTCCAATCTGGCATAGCATACATGAAAATGTAGATCAATGGAAACCCAAAACAAAAAGAATGATTGCTTTTCATTATGGAGTTGACTAAACAACTTCACGTTAACAAGAGAGAAAAGTGTTGAATAAATTACTTAAAAAAAAAAACCCTGTTTCCTGAATTCGCTCAAATGAAAGTCATTTAATTTCAGGACTACAAGCCTTTCATATGGGCCGCATCACAGTAACAAATACAGTTTCAATCAACGTTTTCCATGCTGTGAGTTCCAAACTTCTAGCAGCACTTCCAGCCTCCTGGCAGGCAGCTCAAGTAACTCGGCTCACATGGGCAGCAGCCTTCCTCCTCCTCCTCACCTCCATCCACAGGGCTGCCGGGACTCTGTTATTCTAGATTTATAGTGTTGGGACAATGGGGATTACATGTCCTGGACAGGAAAGAAATGTTTGGATTACCAGAGGTCAGCAAGGATTGAACTGTTAATAGTTTGACCTCTCTGTAGTCCTACTGCGTTTCCCCGAAAATGAGACAGTGTCTTATATTTTTTTTGGCTCAAAAAAACACTAGGTCTTATGTTCGGGGTAGGTCTTATATTTTAGCAATTCCCAAAAATAGTACAAGGTCTTATTTTCGGGGTAGGTCTTATTTTCGGGGAAACACTGTAGTTTTTCTACAAAGCTTCCTTTCCAGTTTAAGGATCTCACTTGGCTCATGCAAAGGAGGCGCAGACAAGCGCTGGCTGGGCTGCATACTTTGACCTTCCACAAAAACTTAAAATTCAGCACAGAAAACCAATAAAACCGATCTATATTCTTCAACTTTCAATAGATGTGAATTAGATATTATGTTGTGAAAGGAACAGATACTTGTATTCACCAAAGTGGCATTAGGCGTCATTCACACTGCGGTAAGTCGAGCTGTACATATACGTGTATCGGGCCGTTTCTGAGAGGGACAGGTGCTGCCTGATCTTCCCTATGGGAGAACGCGGCCATACGCACACCCAAACTGCACATGTGTGCGGGTCCACAACCGTACCCGCACGGATGTGCAGTTCAGGTGTGCGAATTACAGCGTACGGCTATGTCCTCCCATAGGGAAGGACAGGCTGCTGCGTGCAACCACACACAGCATAAGCAGAGCTTATGAATATTTTATATAAAATGCTGAAAGGCAGCTTTTTATGACACCACTTGAGTCTAAACGTTTTATGCAAGATTAATTAAAAAATAAAACCGATGTGAACCTTGTGGATGAAGGTTGAAAGTGCCTTGTGACCAGTGAATAGGTAGGTGCTGTGCAAGAACTTCAGAGATGTGAAGATATGTCACCAGCATTTCAAAATGCAAAGAAAATAGTTTATTGCAAATAACATCACATAGGTCAAAATTGCCAATGCTTCAGGGCTGTGCCTCAAGGCGACACTGGCGTCACGGTGTCACCTTAAGGAAGGAACCCTGCACAGCCCTGAAGCATTGCCAATTTTGACCCATGTCATGTAATTTGCAATAAACTATTTTATTTGCATTTGGAGTGCTGGTGACCTATCTTCACACCCCTTGTGGTAAAATATATATTGTACACTGAGCCGCACATGTGCAGCTGTGTACAGTCTCAGCATGCCTTTGATGCCAGGGCAAAACTCCATTGCACATGCATGTTATAACTGCTACATTCAGAGAATCCCAAATTTGCAGCAATAACAGCTTTACCGACCCTTGGCAGGTCAACGGTACCTGCCCTACAGATGTGAAAGCATGGTCATGCACTTGGCTTTTTGGTGCATTGAGGCTCATGAAGGGCTTCGTAAAGTGAACAGGGTGCCTTCAATGCACAAATTAAAATATGCGTTAACACGTGCACAGGAGTGAATGGAGTATTAGACCTCATTTACACAGGCAGTGACATACATGCGTTTAAACAAACCAAAACGTAGGAGGCCGTATAGGAAATTTCAAACAACGCTTTCTGTGGTTCTTTCCAGAGGTGGAACTAGCTCGTAGAGGTTTTGCAGTACCGGCCAGTGCATCATAGAGGGCACTTTGGCTTGCAGGTTCATCACCCAAATGGTTGTGCATAACATAGAAGTTTGGTGTAAACTTTATTATGCAGCAGTACATCAATCTGAAGCAATCAAGCTCTGACTGACAAGGGCTGGCATGACCTAAAATATATTGACAACCTTTCTAGCTCTTTATTTCTGGTAGTCTGTAAATCTCAGGACCAAAGCAATCCAAACCTATTACATTCACCCTGCAGTGGTCAGCCAAAGGCTTCAAGCACTCTTCCTTTAATTGGCTCTGCAGGTCACAGGTCTCTTATTTAAACACAACAGACATGACCATATAATGCTTCCCTGGTTATCTGCCATCCACAGTGCTCTTCGTTCATATCTTTTTATGTGCCACTTTGGAATGGACTCTACAGCTTCCAAGGGATGGATATGAGTAACAGAAAGGCTGAAGAATGTGTTTTATTGGAGAGTGACAAGAATGCGGAAGTGATGCAATGTACATCACTGCTGCATTCAGACAAGGAGGAGATCATGTGATTATCTCCCGCTGACCTCCGGTGAAAGCCGCCCTGCGGCTGCCAAGCCCTCACCGGACACAATGGGGGATCAGCAGCGGTGGGGGCCGCACGCATTATACAAGCGATCCAGCGGCTCTACAGCCGCTGTATCAGTTGCATGTAAACAGCCATCCAAGAAGCTCCTGGCCGGTCGTTTAATTACAACGGCCGGCTGGGAAGCTACTCGTGAACTAACTTTTTGATTCACCCTTGTATAAAAAGTCAATGCAGGAGTTGATGAAGATAATGAAAAAGGCTGCTGGCCTTGTGTACATATGTCATTCCAGCAGAAATTGTACATATAGCAAGGTTTTTCCATACAGTAACAGCCAGAGAGCAACAATGATCAGCTCATCATTCACCCCTACAAGAGGACTATAGTCATGATAATTTAGGACATTTAATTCCAGCAGACCACATCTACAACACACTAGTAAAGTGATGGAACCTCCAGTGCTGAACACACAATACACAATATAAGATTACACAGTTGGAAGAAATAGTCGAAGAAAAGGGGAGGCATCTTGTCATCCTGCCAAGCAGAGTCCCGTGATGTAAAAGGCAGTGCCAACAGCAGAGGATGGAATGAACATAAATGTACAGCCGGGCACTTCATAGCTGAACTCTACAGAAAAGGGCAGATCCAAAATCCTGACCATGAAAATTATCCCAAGCCTGTATGCTCATAAGAGCCGCGGGACCATTAAAAAGGAGTCAGCTCTCAAAACTTGCTTTCAAATGATGAATCCAGATCAAATACACATTATTCAGCAAAGTACTGCTTTTATATTTTTACCCAAGCACTTAGTCATCATGTTCCCAAACAGCTCCAACTCTCTAAGATCAGCTTCCCTGAAATTCCTATCTAGTACAAGATCACAAAGCCTGCCCTCTGAACTACAACTACATCTGAACAATGGAACATTACATAGTTACATAGTATTTGAGGTTGAATAAAGACATAAGTCCATCAAGTCCAACCTATTGTGTGTATGCATTGATGAGCTGATGTGTGCGTGTATATGAGTCCATGTGTGATTTTTCGCTTAGCTATACCTGTACCCCTGTATGTTATGGTCTCCCAGGAACTCGTCCAGGAGTCTTGAATGACTCCACACTCTTAGCTGAAATCACTTCCTGTGGCAGCGAGTTCCAGACCTTAACCGCTCGAACTGTGAAGAACCCCTTGCGCCCTGTGTGGTGAATTTTTTTTTCCACCGATTTTTGGTTGTGCCCTCTGGTCTTTGTTACAGAGCTAACCGTAAACAGTTTGTTACTGAGGTTGCCGTCACCTTGACTAGTTTATAAATAAAAATCATGTCCCCCTCTTAATCTCCTAACCTGCAACGAGAACATATTTAATTTTAACAACCTTGTTTCATAGTTCAGATCCTCGAACCCCTTAATGAGTTTGGTTGCCCTCTTCTGGACTTTTTCCAGCTCAGGGACATCTTTTCTGAGAATCGGTGACCAAAACTGGACCGCTTACTCCAGATGTGGCCGAACCAGTGATCTGTAAAGTGGCAAAATTACAGACTTGTCCCTGCAATACATTCCCTTCTTAATGCAAGACAGGACTCTGCTTGCTTTGTTTACAGCAGCCTGGCACTGCAAGCTGTTCTTCAATCTGCGGTCTATAATGACCCCCAAATCCTTCTCCGTTTCCGACTTCCCTAGTGGCACACCCATAAGAGTATAGTCCATTTGCCTATTTTTAGCTCCAAGGTGCATTACCTTACATTTATCGACATTGAATTCATTATTGCTTGCTGGAAGCAATGCATGATGGGATATGTAGTCTGTGGAAATGGAGATTACATCATATCAAGCAGCAGGGAAAGAGAAGAAAAGCACATTGGGAATCCAGGAAGTTGATGAAAGTGATGGGCAGACAGAACGCAGCACTCGCTACAGAAAGGGGATTTTTCTTTTTCCAAGTAAGATTTGATTGTATTATCAAAAACAACTCCAGTATGTATTCCTATTACAATGCTGATGTTATAACAGGACAGGATATGCCGAGACCTTACAACCCCTAACAAAAAAAACACACACACACACACACTTAATAAAAATTGCATTTAAACCCACCGAAAAAAAAAAAAAAAAAGTTTATACGGCAGGTTAGCAATCCTTAAGAGAACTACTAGGTAAGTGTTTTCCCCCATAGTTCTCCTTAGGGTGATGGGAGGACATATACTAGCGTCCTCCCGTCACCCTAAGCTCAGTATATCATGGGCAATACGGAGAGCACTGCAGCCGGGACGGATCCCTACATTACGGTCGAGATCCACCCAGTTGCGTGAGTGACAGCTGGCTCTGCCCTTCTAGAGCAGAGCCCGCCCCCCCTCCCCGTCCGTTCCTTCCTTGATAAGTCACTGCTCTCTGCAGGGAGACGTTCGTGAGCGGATCGGCAGCATGTTTCTGCTCACTTCCCGATCAATAGAGCCGACCTGTGACAAAGAAGCTGCCACAGGTCGGCTCTAAGTATGAGGTTGAGTGGAAATCCTAGATCTTTAAATGTGGTGGCTGCATTAGTTTCTTTTTTAGGCTCTTTCCTTTATTTTCACCTGCAAAATGTGGAGCAAAGACCCCTCTGCTGGGTTTCCAAATAAAACATATTTTAATTCAAATATTCATATGTGATATTTCATATTTACCTGACATTTTAGCCCTGAATAGAACAAAAATCTACTATAAAATGATACAGAATGTAAAAAGACCCCGGCGGTACTGATTGTGTGTGAAAGAAAACATGAGGATCAGTGGGGTGTTTCTGCTGGGAACTAAAACAATTCATGCTGCTCTGCTTGAGCTGAACCCTCTTCAACATGTGAAAAAGCACAGACTAGGGATGGGGAGGCCTGGGTTAAAGTAAGCAACCGAAGTAAAAAAAAAAAAAAAAATGTACAGTGCAGGAAATGGCAAAAATTGGGTTATGGTGGATTTTTAGGATTTAACTCCTATTAACAAAAATGTATCTTTTTGCGGCTTGTGGATGCGGGCGGGTCTGGCAGTGGCAAGCGTGAGGTGGGGAGGAGGTGCGGCGCGTCAACAGGGCCAACTAACCAGAAGCCAATTAATCGATGAATGAAAAAAGTTGCCAACTTTTTCGATCAATTATGTCGATTAGTTGTTGCAGCCTTAATCTTATCACTCGGCTGTAGATCCTCAAAACATCTCTGAATTGGTGCTGACACTGTCCTTCCTTCTGGAGGGTGGCTACTTTTGTTCCCCATGGTCCCTGTGTGTGTTGTAAAGTAGCCACCGCACCAAGATCACTCCCGTGATTGACTACAGTCTCACGTTTAGATTACTAATTTGTATTGAGATTGTAGTCCATCACAGGAGTGAGCTTGGAGCGGTGGCTACTTTCCAACACACACAGACTATGGAGAACAAAAGTAGCCACCCTCCAGAAGGACAATGTCAGCACCAATTCAGAGATGATTTGAGGATCTACAGCCGAGTGATACACAAATAAGTAGGGATGTCCCAATACCGATACCAGGCATTTTCACTTGTACTCGTGAAAATGCCCCGATTATTAAGGCCGATACCGGCCCTTTACATTTCAAACAGCAGCGGCCGTCCGAGTCCCCGTGCTTGCGGGGACCTCTACAGCATGCTGGGGACCGGCAGATAGCCATCCATGGCAGTGCCTGTCCGGTTCTTCATCTCCTCCTCCTTCCCGGGGCGCAGGCACAGCCATGGACAGCCCCGGGGGCGGAACTATCGCCCTAGGGCTAGAAGCTGGGGATTACTGCTGCACACTAACTGGGAGGACTGGGCCGGTACGGCCGGACTGGACATGGCAGCATCGCTGGTCTGGACCTGAGGGAGGCTGGGTCCCGGCATCGCCGGTAAGGTGGAGTGCCCGCAGAGCCACTGCAGATGTCCACGTCGCCCGGTGAGATTGACACGCAGCCTGGTGAGAGGAATTCTGCTTTGGGGACATGTATTCAGTTCTGGTGACATCCGTATTTAGCCCTGGTGAGAACCTGCCCTAAAATCAGTTTGTGGGGTTTTAGAAAAAAAAAAATGTCACACGTCCCTTTAAGAAAAAGTATCAGTAATTGGTATCGGCAAGTACATGAGGGGAAGTACTTGGTCTTAAAAAAAAGTGGTATAGGGACATCCCTACAAATATGATATATTTTTGTTGATTTAACTCCGGAGTTTAGTGTCCCTTAAACAGTGTGATGACACGAAGTTCTGAAGTCAAATGATGCTCCATAAAACATTAGGTCACATGTCTAGATCACATGTCTATAGATGGCAAACATAAATTCCACTTCTGTGCTCCATAAACAAGGTGAGGAGTCGTAGTGTGCGCCCCGTGTACATTGCCTCATACACAAATCATATGATGGTAACAGAAGGGAACAAAGTTCACATACAGATCTCTGACCACCATCATTTATATCTTGAACAGTAGACGGACCTAATGAGACCAGAATGAATTATCATTTCTCATGTCTAGACAACACCAAGGAAATACGCCTGTGGTAGAATAAACCATTCTATCGCACAAATCCGCCTGCACCGTTCCAGAGCATTTGGTTTAGATGAAGTCCCCAGGACCAGATCGCTCCCACCCCGCAGGTTGTCAGATAAAGAGGACATGTGCTTCACATTAATTCATTTCTACCACACGCCTTTTATTTCCTCAAGCAGAAATGCTTTCCAGCAAAGTGATTTTCTCCAAGAGGTTACGACCGTGTGGTAATCAGCAACCACCATAATTGCCAAATCCAGATTATGATATCAAACTACAAATCCCATCTTCTCAAAATATCGAACCTATATAGACTGCAAAAGGTGAGCAGAGCTGCAACGCCCAGCTAAGGCTTTTGTTAATATGTGTTGCCATCAGCAGTATCAGTGAAGAAATTAATAGCGTACTGATTGGAATGACAACAATTCTAGGGATTAAACGGCTAAAAGGCAGAACTTTGAACCCTAAAACTGACCACACGTGTATTGAAGTTATAGCTAAACTTTAGGATCAAAAAATATTTAAAAAGACAAGAGCCAGGTAGGCGTGCTCCTACTCCATGAGGGATGTGCTGGCTGGTTTTACCAGTGCAGCCCTAACACAAGACAAGGCAATTTGCCTCGTCACGGATGGACAGCGTTCAGTGTGCCCATAGACCTTAATGAAATGTCACAGTGCAATGTGCCAGGATTGGCGTATCAGCATTGTGCCGGCCACCACACACACCAGCAGCTGTGCAATGTAGCCTAGTGTGACTAGATCCTGAATTTCGGTGAACTTTGTGTTCTTCGGTGTAGTAATCAAGCATGACACTTGGCTCTGTGCCGGAGTGTCCTGTAATAAAGACCGGTCACTGCTGATCTCTCCCCTTGTGCAGAGTGACTGGTCTAGTCTCCGCCCCCTTGTATAATAAAAATTGTCACTGTTGCTCTCGCTCACTGTGCAGGGTGACTGGTCTGGTCTCCACCCCCTCCTGTAATTTTCTGTAGCCAGCTTGTAGTGGGTGGAGCTCACAAAATGGATTTATATATTGATTACTATTCTGATGCAGCTACAATTCCCTCACAAAGGCATTTTTAGGTCCCCCTCCAAGTCAGAGATCACTACAATGCGGTCATACACTACAGACCGCATTGCATCAGTCCCTCACACTACAGACCGCATTGCATCAGTCCCTCACACTACAGACCGCATTGCATCAGTCCCTCACACTACAGACCGCATTGCATCAGTCCCTCACACTACAGACCGCATTGTATCAGTCCCTCACACTACACACCACATTGCATCAGTCCCTCACACTACACACCACATTGCATCAGTCCTTCACATCCCACACACTACAGACCGCATTGTATCAGTCCCTCACACTACACACCACATTGCATCAGTCCTTCACATCCCACACACTACAGACCGCATTGTATCAGTCCCTCACAAAGAACTGAAAACTCTGGTCAGACTCGAGAATGACAAACTGTACGTCTAACTTCCGGGACCATTAAATGCCACGAACAGCAGACAGATCTCAACCACCTCCCAAATATTTTCCTATAGTGTTGCATAGCTTTTTCAGTCGATTCTGGAGAACAAACATTACATCAGCCGAAAATGCAGTAACGCTGCCAAGTCTTTTTACGGAATGCCTTCTGTTGTATGTTACAAAGACCAAAGACTATCAGTTTTGGATTTTCACCGAGGTACTTGGTTAAATTTACCAGCTAGTTAGATTCTCTTCATGGCCCAAGAGAAAAGAAGGCAGCAGTGACAAACCAATGTGCAGTCAATAAGAACTCATCATGCCCACGTCTCAGAGTTCACTTAGTCTATCATCTTGGCTAAAGAGCACTTACTGAACCCGCTCTGTGTATGTATGTGTGAGATATATATTTATATTAGGGATGCGCCGATATATCGGCCGAAAATTGCACTTTTGGCTCAAGTGCCATTTTCCTACCGTTACATCGGCACATCCCTGCCGTCTTTCCTCCCCGCTGGGCGCTGCTCTGTGTCCCAGCGGGGAGAGAAAAAGTGTGACAGCCGGCCGAGCGCTGCAGGAGGAGAGTCCTGGGATCGGCTGGAGTCTCTCCTCCCACACCGCTCAGCCTCCCATGACAGTGTCAGAGAGGAGAGCAGTACAAACACTCAGTTAACATAGCATTTTAACTTTTTCCACAATTATGAATGAATGGGAAGTGATCTACATCCCCCTCCAGTTCATTCATAGTTGTGGTTATAGTAAACATACTCTGGTATGAATGATCAGGAACACTCAGCATAGAGGATTCCTGTTCATTACAGGGGCTGCAGAAAAAGAGATTGGAGGGCTCCGTGTCCCCAATTTATTTTTCTATTTTAAAAAAGGGAAATATCAGGGATCTGTTTAGACCCCTAATATTTCCCCGATGCCCTTAAAAAGTAAAAAATAAAAACATATTTAATAAAAAACCATTAAAAAGTTTAAAAATATATTTTATAGGTACTCAGAAGACAAAACAAATGCCTTTCCTGGCCCTAAACACTGACCTGTGCAAGCAAACAAACCAAAGATTCACAGTGGATCAGACTAACCACCTTATACCCACCAGGCCTGAACAGAGACCTAAAGTCACCTATATTTAGCATTAGAATACTTGCATCTGTTCCGATTACCATGTTAGTTACATCTTGTGTTGCTATGTAGACATTGTGATAAAGTGACGCTAAACTCCAGAGGTAAATCTTAAAAATACATTCAAGTACCTTAACTATTAATGTGCATCACTCATCTGTAGATCCTCAAATCATCTCTGAATTGGTGCCGACACTGTCCTTCCTTCTGGAGGGTGGCTACTTTTCTTCCTAGTGTTGCACTACAATCTCATGTTTAGTTTACATATTTGTATGGAGCTTGTAGCCCATCACAGGAGGGAGCTTGGAGCGGTGACTACTTTACAACACACGCAGGGACCATGGGGAACAAAAGTAGCCACCCTCCAGAAGGAAGGACAGTGTCAGCACCAATTCAGAGATGATTTGTGGATCTACAGCCGAGTGATACACAAATAAGATACATTTCTGTTAAGTTAGGCCCCTTTCACATGAGCGTTCCTATCAGATCCCCTGTCAGTTTTTCGGTCGGACCGGAATGGATGCTCCATGCAAGTCTATGAGCAGCCTGGTGTCCGTTTACAACCGGTTACCCCCGGCTAGGTCCGGAAAAACAAATGGATCAGAGATCCATTTTGCCGGACCACGGGTAATCCGATGTTAGCGGACACATGTCCACACATGGGGTCTGGCAGTTGTTTCCATTACAAGATGGAGAAAAAAAAAACAAAAAAAAAAAACTGTACGGACACTGATATCACAGCGGTGACATCCGCTCTGTGCTGCTGTGATCAGAAAAGGATCTGTTGATGGATCCTCTCCTGACACACTCATCTGAAAAGGACCTCAAGGTACTTGAATGCATTTTTAAAATGTAACTCTGGAGTTTAGTGTCACTAACATATTCCTTCTAACAGCCATTTCTGCCCCAATGATAGGGATTTAGAGCTGCAGCTAACGATTATTTTCAAAATCGATTAGCCGATTATTAAGTTCGATTAATCGGTTAATCGGATAAACAATAAAAAAAAAAATTAAAAATGGCTCCAGTGATGGACTACTAGTTTGTATTGAGATTGTAGTCAATCACAGGAGCAAGCTTGGAGCGGTGGAATAAAATAGTGTGGTGTGCAATATAGTGAAAAAGGAAAGTGTAAAATTATACACCAATGAATGCAGAATGGCACCGGCTATAGAGGACTACAAATCCCAGCAATAGTACATTATACAGCGCAATGCAGAATATCACCAGCTATAGAGGACTACAACAAATCCCAGCAATAGTACATTATAGCTGGCGGTATTCTGCATTGCGCTGTATAATGTATTATTGCTGGGATTTGTAGTCCTCTATACAGCGCAGTGAAGAATATCACCAGCTATATAGGAATACAACAAATCCCAGCAATACATTATACATACAGTGTATAATGTATTGCTGGATGTGTATTCCTATGTATAATATACAGCACAATGTACCATCAGCTATAGAGGAATACAAATCCCAGCAATACATTATAGAGCACCATGTGTGGGAAAGGGCAGGCTTACCTGAGCAGTCTTCCAGCAACTTGCTTCTGAGATCGGACCTGTCTATCGGCGGCTGTCATCCCCCCACACCTGCTCCTCCTTACTACATCTCCCCGCGTCCCTGTGCCGATCGTGGATGTGGGCGGGCGGTGAGTGTGAGGCGGGGAGGAGGTGCGGCGTGAAGAGCGTGGATGCGGGCGGGTCTGGCAGCGGCGAGTGTGAGGTGGGGAGGAGGTGCGGC